TGCGTCAGGCTAGAGGGGCAGGAGCATCACGTTAGCGAGTGCGGGTGGTTTTGGACTGGACCCAGGTCCTTCCTCCGCTGTTCAACTGGAGCAAACTCCATAGAGAACCTGGTGTGGGGCAGGGTTGGGGGATTCCAGCGGGCTGGAGCAGGGCTGGGGGTCGCAGTCACAGGGAGGAGGGATTCCTCTACTGATTCCCCACTCACCGGATTCCCCAGTGTGGCTTCTCTCCCTCACTAACCCCCCTTTCCTGCCCCCCAGGAGAACGCTAAGAACTGCCTCTCGTGGGAAGGCCTGGAAGCTTCCAGCAGCGATGACGACGGGGAAGCCGGCGCCCCCACTTTCCTGCCCCCTTTGCGCCCACCGCGGCCCCTGGCACCGCACCGGCTGGCACCCCCCTTCGCCACCAAATCCTTGCCTCTCGAGAACATCATCGTCCCCTTCCGTCCGGGGCCTGCTGCTGTTTCCCCAGGGACCCAAGTGTTTGGGGCCTACCAGTGCCAGGAGTGCTGCCAGGTCTTCGTGGAGGAGTGGCACTATCTCCAGCACAGCCAGGAGCATGCGCAGGAGCTGGCCCGCCGGCCCCCACCAGCCCCACCCCGCTCTCTAACCCGGAGGAAGCAGCGCTGCCCGGAGTGTGGAAAGAGGTTTTCCCACCAGCCCCGCTTCACCAGACATGTCAGGTGGCACCTCAAGCTGGCACAGGCAGGCATCTGGGTGCAGCGGAGACTGGGGGCCCGGCCTTGCTCCCTCACCTCCTATGTGTACGAGCCGCCAGGAGTTGGGGAGAGCCAGGAGGGTTCTGGGGGCGTCCCCTGCCCACGAGGCAGTCGGGAGGGTGTGCCCAGCCTTAGGAAACAGCAGGACGGAGCCCGCTCTTGGAGGCATGTGGGACAGTCAAAGGGGCGGCAGATGCCCACAGTGCCCAAGAGCCAGAGAGCAAGCAAGGGACGGACCATGGAACGGCCGAAAGGGACCCGGCGGCGTAAACCAACTCTGGGCCGGGAGTTCGGTCTATCCAGGCCAGTTGGCACGAGTCCTGTTCAGCCAATGACCATGGAGGATGAGGGGCAGGATGCCATCTTGGACAGCAAGGTTGGCATGAGCCCTCCACAGCCCCTGAATGGCCAGGTTGGCGGGAGCACACTTCAGGCAGCCATCTTGGACGGTCAGCTTGGTGCAAACACTCTTCAGGCAGCCATCTTGGATGGCCAGGTTGGCGAGAGCTCTCTCAGGACGCTGGTCATCACCGCTGAGGAGGAGGCAGCCATCTTGGCTAGCCTACTGGGCGCTAACTCTCTCCATTCTTTCCGGACCGTGGTGATGGGAGCGGAGGAGCCGGCGGCCATCTTGGAAAGCCAAGTTGGCGTGAGTCCCCTCCACCCTACACCCTTGCGGGCAGACGAGGTCCCACCCTCGCTGTTCCTGGAAGCCGAGCCCGGCCTTAGCACAGCGCTGGATGCGGTGACCTTCCGCCTGGTCCCGTTGCTCCCCGACTCCCAAGGGCTTGTCCCGTGGGGCAGCCAGATGGCAGGAGAGCTTCCTGACGAGGCTGGAGACGTTCAGCCCACGGCTTTCCAGCTCACGGGCTACCTCCCGCCACTCAACCAACAGTGTCGCCCCCCAGGCCTGGCCAAGCCGCCCCCGTCTCCGCGGGCCCCCGTGCTCCTCCACCTCATGCCTGCCCACCCTGGCGAGCTGTCCCAGGTGCTGGAGCTGGAGTACGCGCCGGGCAGCGGCTGGGAGGCGGAGGCCGAGGATGATTACATCGTGGTGGAGCTGGAGCCAGACATCAGCAGCTGGGAGGAGGTAGTGGCTGGCCAGCCTGGCACGGCGGGGACGGAGCTCTCCTTGGGTGCCA